CAAACCTGAATTGCAGATGGAGGCCTTTGGAGATTCTCAGTCATTCAGGTCATGGTTGCCCCAAAGGTGTTTTTTTTCAAAAGGCAACTGGACTGTCTTAATTTTGCTTGAAGATGTTCCGCTTCTCATTCAAGAAGCTTCTTCAGTTCTGATATGAACTGAAGAAGCTTCTTGTATGAGAAGCAAAACGTCTTCCAAGGAAAAACAAGGAAGTCCAGTTGCCTCCTGAAAAAGCACCTTTGGGTCCAGATGAAAGCTTTCACACAGGTATTGTGCCACAACGGTTGTAACAGAATGGAAGGACACACACTTTATAAACTAAGGATCCCAGGTTATACAACACATTTATTCATGTTTAACAACTATAATTTATTTTACTCAATTATTTTCTGGATTCAAATGACATACTGAGCCACAAATTAACTCCATCAGCTGGGTTAATACATACTAGGCTAAATGAATTTGGCTAATTAATGTTCATTGCATGGGGCAAAATCAGCCACTTTTACTAACAAGGCAGACAAAGAATTTTTCACCTGATAATCAGTATAGAGACATCCAATTCTGTTATTGTTTATCTGAACCATGGTTTATGGTGAGAATAATGAAATTTCCTTGGTTTGCATGTATCCTGAGCCAAAATAGTAGTTAACCACATTTTGGCCTGGTGTATTATGTGAATCTGTATGTCCTTAACATCTGGCTTTATGTGTATTTGATCCTATCACATTTGTTGTCTCTTCAACCTCTGCCTGCAGTTTCTTATGTAGTGATCACAGTGAGGAACTATCCTGTTTTGGTTAGCAGCATTGTTTAATTCAGGAGTGTCAAACTTGCCACGTCACGTGATGTATCATGACGTATCGTGACTCTTTTCCCCTTGCCGGAGCTGGGGTGGGCACGACTTCCGAGTGACGCATCTGGCCCGTGGACTAACAGTTTGACACCCTGGCTTAATTACTCAGCTAATCATTTCATTGGAAACTGCTGATTTGATGGCCTATACAAAGATCAAGGTAATACACCAGCACAGTGAAAGGAAGGCAGTTGAAACAGCTGAAGTCAATGCTGGGAATTAGATACAAGAAGGAAAACAGGTCAGCCAAAGGCCATGGGAAGAAGGACAAGGCCTTTAAGAAACAATAATCTTGGTTCCAGCGGACAGTAAAGAATGCATGAAAAGGATTACCTCATCTCCCAGTCCAAACACACATATATTTGCTTTTAGAAAACTTAAAGATTGGTTTATTCTACCAAACATTCAAGGTGTGCTCCACAGCTCCCTTACTCTTAACCCAAGTCTGTCCACCCACAGGGAACAAGGGACACAACATTTAGAAAGCTGCTGGACATCCATGACTTTGGTACTAATTCTGGGGATTAGAAGAACAGAAGGAAAGTTTTGTTTAACCAGATCAAATGCCTATTTGGTTGCACATCCTGTTTCCCACAGTGGTCAACTAGATGCTTCTGGAAGTTAATAAGCAGGCTGGGAATACAGCTCTACATCCCCCTGCTTATGTCCTTCTGTGATTGGAATTCAGATAAATACTGGCTATATTCATGGTTGGCTTAATCATGATTTATTACTAACTAGATTTCAGTAAAGGAAGCAGATTTCATGCTGTACAGAAAGCAAGAAAGCATAACTGGTGCCCTTTATATTAATGCAGTTCCTCATAGGACTGGTTGACTTGATTTAGCTTTCCTTTGATATACAGGGATTCCCATGAAAACAATTGTTGGAGGTGAGTACCATTTTTATGCAATAGCCTCAAAAGAAAAATGGGCGGATATGCTTTCATGAAACTTTACCTCAAACATGGTGCTTTCACATAGATAATTCTAGAACATTTGAACGCAACCTTTGTTTTTAATGTCAGTCCCCCGCTTACTGGTTACCTTATTACATCCTTTTAGAACAGTGCTTCTCAAGCTCAGCAACATTAAACATTAACAGTATTCCCCAGCCAATTCCAATTCTGGGAGTTGAAGATCACACAACCTAAAATTGCTGAGACTGAGAAACACTGTTTTAGAACTCTTTTAATCATACTTAAAAACTGAACGTGAAATTGATTTTTGTGTGTTGTGTCATTTACAATCATCTGAGCAATGCTAAGAGTAAAAAAAAAAAAAGCACTGACAGAAGCCTCCAGTGGTCCCATTACTCACCCAATTCTGTATGGAGGAGATATAACTTACTCTTTTCAACTCCCTCCCCATAAATAAATTCTGGCATTTAGTAATTTTAAAAACAACCAGTTAGGCTGAAATTGGTGATATGTTTCTCCTGATAGATATTTTGCAAGATTATAGTGGAGTATGATGCAAAAAAAACCCCAAGACAAATTTTCATATAATTTTTCAGTTATTATTATACTACACTGTTACTCAGGGCTTTCAGATTAATAAGAGACAGACCTTGTTTGTTTGGTAAACTACATACCATGTCACACAGGAAAAAAAATCCTTTAGTAGAATTGATCTCTATAATAGAGCTCTTTGATTTCATTACTCCTGCAAATCAGGGCTGCAGAGACAATGTTTAGCTCTAAACATTTATAGTCTGGTTTGCAGAACAGGTCAACTTATCTCCCAAATATAATTACCATTGACTTTGGACCATTTATGACTGACTAAAGCTAGCAAATCTTATTATGGCTAAAAGATTATGATTTTAATAAGGAAATGAAGCAGAAGCTATTTTTTGTGAAATAAATGAATGGAAGTGTGTGTGTCTCCCTGTGTATATTTACTTATTTATTCCTGGATTTTTTCTGGAATGCAAAACCCAATAAAATGCTGATCTGCTGGAAAGAAGTTGCAGTTTTCAGAACGTGTTTTTCCTTCCCCAGAATTATATCCAAGGAAAAGAAGAGTCTTGAATCTATTTGGATTTGGCTTGGGATGAATGGGAAGGAGAACAAGTTTGCATTTTGTCAAGGTCTATGTGACTTTCCTTTTTGAAAGTGGTGATGGAATATATTTAATATTAAATAAACTAAAGAATGGGCTTCCTCACAAATGATTTTTTAATCAAAGTAAGCATTTCTTTCCTGAATCCAGACTGCTGCTGAATATTCATAATGGACAAATGGTAATCCTGATTATCATGACCTGGTTAAATTATTCCACAGTGGAGCAAGATTAATGTCTCTTTGCTCCCCAGTTTACCAGTCTGACTGTGTGTGGCTGTGTCTCACACTCTAACCCTCCCACTACTTATGAAATTCCTGAGGCTCCTAGATCTTTCTACAGAGAACAGGTGACCCTCCAACCTTAGCCTCAAATTCCTACCCTTCCCTGCTTTAGTGTATGAATGCTATGCCAGGCACGAGTTAATATCTTAATAATGCCACATTCAATTCTAGCATTCCACATATACCAGCTGAATTCATATGAACAATATGTTGGTGAATTTTTTATTGACTACAACAAAAAACTGAAACAAAGACTAAATGTTAAATAAAAGATCCAACCTTTATTTAAAATACAATGCATTTGTACATACGGTATGTCTTGGAGTACTGAAGACAACACTGATTTTATCTCTTGGTGTCGGGTGGGTTGGGGGATCCCTGGGGGGAGTAACAGTTAATCTTAAAGTGAGACACACACACACCCTTCCCAAGACTCAGGCAACAAAGTAAATTGTTGTTAAGGGCTTTGTGGCACAGCTGTAACAAAATCAGGAACTTAACTTACATTAAAAATATACTGTAAGGCCAATATAGTTGATACTATTGCGATTCCTCCTACTTTGGCTTGTGAGGCTAGCTTTAAAAGAAAAACCTGTACACATTTATAAAATTTGTGTTTTTCTTTTTACATTAGTTACATAAAACAAAACAAAAAAAATCTTATACTTCATAGACCTTTACTTCATATCGTTATGAAAAGTTTTTGCATATCATCTTAGGTAAAGAGTGGCTATGCTGGTGAATACTAAAGGTGTTTTTAATACAATATAGTGTTAAAAAATACAGAGGACAAGAAAGAGCACAGAAATGATTATCAAAGGGGAAAACAGATACATTTGGAACCAAATTTGCCAGTATTTGTCAAGGCCACTCAGGCTAGTTTTCACAAAAACCTTCAGGCTCCTGTAACAGACCCCAATTATGTCTTAAGAACTCAGGTTGGTGCTTCCAGATGTCCTGGGCATCAACTCCCAATACCCAAATCAGAATGCTTGGAATTCTGGAACAGAACATCTGAGGAACAGCAACATGAGAAAGGCTAATGTAGTGTGAAAAAACATACGGGATAAAGGACACAGTCCACCAAGCACCATGATGCACAGGAGAGCCCAGGCACAAACCCCACTAAAATGTATGGGGAAGAAGGGGAGGGAGGGAGGGAGGGAGAGAGAGAGAGAGAGAGAGGGAAAGAAGAAAGAAAGAAAGAGAAAAAGAAGAGAAAGAAAGAAAGAAGAGAAAGAAAGTGAAAGAAAGAAAGAACCTTCCTGAATTGCAGAGAGAGAGGGAAGGAGGGAGGGAGAGAGAGAGAGGGAGAGAGAGAGAGAGAGAGAGAGAAAGAAGAAAGAGAAAAAGAAGAGAAAGAAAGAAAGAAAGAAAGAAAGAAAGAAAGAAAGAAGAGAAAGAAGGTGAAAAAAAGAACCTTCCTGAATTGCACTCCAAAAATTCTGCCTTAAAACATAGGAAGGAAGAACACATAATGTCAATTTTACAATATATATATAAAACCTCATAAAACATGCATTAAACATGATAAATACACTTCATATAGATTAGGCCCTGGTATCTAAATAGATAAATGGCTTTAGAGTTTTAATTTTGTTTTAAAAATGATTTGGTTAGCTTACATTTGTCAGAAATTGACCTGATCAGCCCCTCATTTTGCTGAGAGAGGGGAAAGAGGCACAAACTTAGGCATGGCATGAGCTGTGTTTTGGTTTTGCGTAGCAGATTAACGGAAGCGCTATTTAGCGCAGGTAAAAAATTATCTGCTAATGCAAGTTTCCATATTAAAAAAGAAAAGATACACTTCAAGCTTAATTTGATTAAGCAGCATATTTCCAAGAACAGCTTTTGAGTTAAATATTAATATCACCATTTAGTTTATGTCAGTAGAAGAGGCAGTCTCGTCCAACTCACACCCAGCCGCTGGTCAGCTTGTAGAACATCTCTTCATCTAAGCTTTCGTTCTGATCTTTTGCACGGGTTGACAGGAAAATGTAGCCCCCGATAAACTCATGCACCACTTTGCAATCCACTTCGGTGCAGATGAAAGATACTCGGACCTCATCTGCAAATTCTACAGTCACCTATAAGTGCAAGAAATCCAGCAAATGTTTTATAAAGCTTCATACTGTCACTAAGCTCACATTGAGATAAGAATAAATATACAATAAATATAAACTCAAAGCAACTTTTGTGGCTGTTATTCCATTCTGTTCTTGCCTAACCTGAGGAAGCAGACTGGGGTTGGTATGTGCAACTATCAATATTTGCCAAGACATTTGAACTATGAAATTACAGTTAATATTAATTCATGTCCATTGTATATAAATCAGATCAGGGCACTGAACGATGAATGGAAGTGGGTGCTAACAAAGCCTGCTCAGTTTGAAAGGTTTGGCAAATTGGGGTGTGAGAGTGCTGTTGTATAAGAAGGGGCGTGTCCACAGAAGATTGAGATGTAAAACCTGAAAGGGGACCTTATTGTCTTCTGATAACCAGAGCAAGAATAAAAGTTAAGAAAGTTTAACAGTAGGGGAAACTGCAGCTAGTGAAACCTAGCAATCAAAAAGAAAATCCTTGCTTTGAAACCGACTTTTAGGTCCAGCCACTTACATTAGTAAGATATGTTAAATGGTATGTTCAACATTTGAAATGCTAAATGCTACTATGTTATAGCTGAACTTAGTCTCCTGGATTCCACAAGCTACTGTAAATTATAGGATCAGACCGATTTCTCTGAGAGGCAATTCATTTGACTATATCTTTTCTTATGATTACTGAGCTGGAAGGATTTTGAGGAGCTTTATATTTCATTATTTAGCTTTCTTATCAAGGGAACACATCCTTCAACAAGACACAAACTGATTAAATGATCAGATCATCAGCTACTAAGTTCTGTTTTCAGCGAGTCACATGAATTCTTCCATCTACCAAGTTCTGGATTTCCAAAATGTTATGTAAGAGTGTGATATAAGGTCTTTCTCTACTTAGAACAACACTGCTTTTTGTGAGTTGAGAAAGATCGGGATGTTATGCTCTTCTTCCCATTTCTTTCTTAATAATGAAACAAAGGCCCACAGTCAGCTTCATAATTGAGAGGGGTTACTAACAGATAAGAGGTTGCTGTGGCTTTTTTTAAAAAACAAAAACAAAAACAAATATCCAAGAAATAAAAGTAAAGACACCACCAAAGCCTGAAAGCAGAAATACTATATCATACCTTAAACAACTTAAACCAAAAATGCCAGTTAACTGAAACTGAGAATAACTCAGATTTCAGCATGCCTAGAAAACTTTGTGGGAAAGGTCTTGCTTACCATTTTGATTTCCCAATTCACATTCCACTGCTTCATGTTGCTGAACCGCCATGTCTTGATGGCATCACTGGTGCTAGCATCCATCCGTATCAGTCGGTTGTAGGCAATTCCAATAAGTTCTTCCTTCTTACCACCTTGGAACCTGCATTTTTTGCATGTTAGAAGGAACATTTTCAGCAATGTTTTATTCAAGTCCCTAAATGATAAGGCATTCAAGAATAATTGGCCTTCTGAGACATTATTTCCTTGGGTGTGCATTCACATGACCTTGCATGATTGTAACAGGGATAAGCCTTAAGCAAACTTCCTACTTGCCTTTTATTATTCAGTTTCCATACAACTAGTTCTACCTTGCTTCTGCATTAATGTTAACAGGACTTATCAATCAGCCTCATACAGAGGTATTAAGGAATCCTTGCTTTATAGTATATCAAACCAAGATGTTTGTTTTTTAAAACTATTTTCTGTCAGGCCCAGATGTAACAAGTAAGCTCCTGTATAGTTAGACACTTGGGGAATTTTTAAACCTTTGAATTTAGATCTTGCATATACTAGCTATCTCAGAAAGCCATGTTTGCATTTGAAAACTGGCTCTCTATAAGATTATTCAGATCATCTCCTAGATTGCTTTTTATTTTAGTAATTCTTGTAATAAACCATTTATGAATTATTTTTAGTTTTTTTAAGAAGATAAAAATGTAATGTTTTCCCCTGTATTCAAATTCGAGTAGTAAAGAACCCTTTATCTGCTGTGCAAAATTCAATACCTAGGCACTCAATTCAATACTTGGGTTAGCCGTCATAACCCAAGGAGTCTCAGCCTTTAGTAATTGCCCACAAAAAAATGATAGCACAGACATTGACACATGGAATTTTGGCTGGACATTTATGTAACCACAGACCTTGCAATAAAGTGTGTAATGCCGAATTCTGGTAAAGACTGCCAAGCTTGAATAAATCTCATTTTGGCTTCAATGAGGCTCATCTGAGCGACATTCTGATGGGCCTCTAAGATCCGGGCAGTGATCTGTAAGGGTGACACAGAAATGCTTGAGGCAACTCATCTGAATTTCAGATACAATTTATAAAGAATGGGAAGGGAGGCAGAATGAAGGGAGAGTAGTACCAAGAGAAAAACAAAAGAAATGAGGAAGAAGAGGTGATTCAATACTAATCAGTTTCCCTCCCCCACCTAACTTTAACCTGTGAAACACCTTTTCTATATTCTGTTTACTGTCATTTTAATACTAACTGGAGAACATGTGTAATTACATGTGTAATTCCTAAACCTGGGGCTTATCTCATGTTCCTTAAACATGGGATGTTTAGAGGAATAGAAGTACATCGATATATTACGTGAAATGGGAGGAAGAGGCTTTATGGGATGGAGAACTATCTGGGATTATACAAGTTCAGTTTCTCTTCCCTCTAATGAAGAATTGGCCTTAATGTACAAAGATACTAGAGTAAACTACAAAGATCAGGTATTTGCAGGGTTAAAACTACAAAAATGGCATGGTAGTTAAAAGATAAATAATGCATTCCGTATAGAAAGCAAAACAACACATCTTTTTATAACAAATGTGGCAAGAGTTTGGCTCCCTGAGAGCTATTTAAAGTATCAGGAAAGCAAATTATTTTCTCCCCACTTGAATTCAGAAGAAATAACTGTGTGCATATACATGTGTGTTTCTGGATTCAAACAGAAACCTTGGGCAAATGTACTCATATGCTGTTCCTTTTCCTTTTCCCCATAACTGTGTTTGCATCATACTCTGAATCACAAATAGCCAGATAGTGTAATCTAGCATGTGGTTAATCATGCAAACCAAGAAAATTAGACGTTAGGTAACTCATGATTATGAGTTCATTGAAAATGTAGCATATGCCAACACAGTCTTTGATTCTTCCTCCTGTCCATTCCTTTTTATCCTTTCTGTCCATATCCATAAAAAGCCAATCATGTCAATACCAGCCCCCAAACAAATGCAAAACGCATTGGAAGAACATGTTTGTTCTGACAGGTGGATAAATGGGTCGATGGGTATGTATAGAAAGAAAACAAAATCCCATTTTCATCCTCACTCTACTCTTTATTCGTTCAAAAGGGTATTAATGCACTGAACAAGTTTTCACTCACCTACAAAAAATAGCAAAAACGTTCTAACAAGTGTGACCTGGCAAAGAACCTTCCTTTCCAGCAATAATTATTACAGAAGTTGGGTTTGGATGCTTTGCTCAAAACTGGGCTTTCAATCCTGAGGAATCTGGGATTTGCTCATTGTCTGCCTCCTGCCTTCTTGGATCCAAGTAGGAAAAGGTTGGCTTCATCTTCTCTAATTAGAACTCGTCCTATTCTAACTCTCTCCTGCCATCTGCATCTCTGGTTACCATAAAGCAAGATATAGATGGGCATGCATTTACCACATGATAATCTACTATGGCTGCACATGTTTGATTCCTCACCTCAAAAATGTTATTTTTTCTCTTCCTCTGTGATGATGTTCACTCTTTTTTAAAAAAAAATAGTCTATAAATGAATAATTTATTTATTTCTCATTGATTCCATCACTTAGGTTAAGACTTTAAAATTTAATGTAGATTAAAAATGGTAAAAGCACAGAAGAAACCGTGGGAGATATATGTACTACAGAAATAGAAATGGCTGCAAGTTATAGTTAGCTCCTTTTAGGTCTTCTGAACTTAAAACAGTTGCACTATAACTGTCCACTTTTCATTGAACTGCTCAGCTAGAATACTGTATAAAAATACAGCAGCCTCTTTCCATCAGTCTAAAGTTCTGTCTAGTTGAGTATCTTGTTCTCAGCATCAACTAACCAGATTAGTGTAAATAAGTCACATAAGAAGAATATGATAGCCACAAACCTGTTCTTCACCAGTTATTACTTAGAACTATGCTACCTCTGACTTGAACAGAATTTGTTTGTCAGATAGCACTTACATACAGTTAATAATTTTATGCCCATTATCACATCTTGCACTAGGATTTCTAAAAGTAAATAATGCAATATGTGAAGAAATTTATACAAGGGTGCAGAAAGAAGTTGAGACAAGAAGGCAACAAAACAAAAGGTGCATCACATAAAAAACACAGCACGCTTCTGTCACAGAAGAAAAGATTAGTAGAATTGTTCAAGGAAACCAGATAATTCCATTAAGTCTTATTTACAACATTACTGCCCAATATTACTCCAAAATACAATACTTAGAGCTCAAGACATATTTTGTTTCTTGATATGCATCTCTACAAGGTTATATTAATAAAACAGCAAAGTCTTCATGCTTGTTTATTTTAGGTTTACTGTCACTTACCAAGTCTCTTATATAGCCTGGCTGCAGAGGACAAATGCGAAGAAAAGAAAAGAAAGCAGAGAAAAAAAAAAGCAATCAGAAAAATGGCATTAAAGCAAAGGAAGGAAAATGTGCAAATTATCAACAGTGAAACCAATTTTTAAAAAATCCCCAAACTTTCATGGGGAGAAAAAGTAGCAAGAAATGAATATGAAAATGGAAAAAACATGTGGGGGAGGGGGAAGCAAAAAGAAGCATAGCAAGATGCTAATTCCAGGTATGCTTCCCTAACTCAATTCCTCCGGGACCAGTGTTTCTCAACCATGGCTACTTGAAGATGGGTGGACTCTAATTCCCAGAATTCCCCAGCTAGCAGGGCTGGCTGGGGAATTCTGGGAACTGAAGTTCACCCAATCTTCAAGTGGCCAAGGTTGAGAAACAGTACTCCAGACAATTTGAACTACATTTCTCATAATTTCCAGGCAGCATGACTATGATGGTTCTTGATGGTAAGAAATGTTGTCTAAAACTTCTAGATCCCATGAAGTTGGGGAAGCTGCCCTTGAGTATCTGAAAGCAATTTGAGTCTCTCTCCATGGAAAACTGACAGCCTCTTAGTGCTTATCCTGGTTAACTTTATTGTTCAAATTGAAATACAACAATAAGGTAGCATGGACTGCCCTCAAACCAGAAGAAAATAAATTTCAGTTGAACTGTATTGCCTATCGGTTATTTCCTGGTTAATATAACACATATTTCTGGATGAACCAAAGTTCAGACAAAAAAAAATTCATAATCAAAGTACAACCTCTAAGCATTTCCAGATAGTAGCCATGTGGGTCTGTTACAGGAAGAGACACTGAAAGTTTTGCAGCACTGGGCTACAGAGCCTCTTAACAATTATATAAAGCATCATGTACAATATATTGATGGTACTATGCCCCAAAAAGAGGGAGGGTGAATAACAAAAGTTGTGAAGAGACATACTTTCGTTATGGACAGTAACCCCAAAATGGATTGAAATTGGGAAATCAGAGCAAAATTGAATGCAAACAATTATGTTATAGCTTAAATTTATATAAGAATCACTATATTTGTTACAGGTAGTCCTTGACTTATAACAGGCATGTCAAACTGCCGGCCTGCGGGCCAGGTGCATCATATTGAAACCGTGCCCACCCCATTGCCGGCAATGGGGGAAAAAAGTCACAATACGCCGTGTGACGTCACGTGACGTCATGAGTTTGACATGCTTGACTTATAATCATTCGTTTAGTGACCATTAAGCACTGAAAAAAGTTACTTATGACTGTTTTTTACACTTACAACTGTTGTAGCATAACTGTAGTCATGTGATCAAAATTCGGGTGCTTAGCAACAGGCATGTATTTATGATAGCTGCACTGTCCCAGAGTCATGCGATCACCATTTGTAACCTTCTCAGCCGGATTCTGACAAGCCAAAATCAATGGGGGAAACTAGAGTGCTTAATGACCACATAATTCACTTTAGAAACCCCAGGGATTCAGTTAACCACTGTGGCAAGAAAGGTCATAAAATAGGGCAAAACTCACTTAACGAATGTCTCGCTTAGCAACATAAATTTTAGGGCTCAATTGCGATCATGGGTTGAAGATTACCTTTATTCAGACTGTAATAGAAACAATAACAGAAGTTTCTTGGCTCAGAATAGGCCAGAGCTCATTAAAAAGGCTCATCTTTTATTGGTCCTTCTGTTTTTATATCAATGGGCTGCTAGTTTGGGAGCAGCAACATTGTCTCCTGCTTCTGAACGTTCCCTGCATTCTACAAATTCCACAAAAGCAGATTTCCTTCATACCATCACACTGCCCCCGTGCCACGTGCCTGTGCAGGAATAACACTGCCTTGGCACACCCTCCCCGTTTTTCTTAAAGGAGGTAAATAAACACTTCATATTAAATACCCACGCACATGCACATACGCAAAAAGTACATGTGCAATTGCCGCAGTAATGAGCACATATTTTAGTAGGTGAATCAGATTGATCCTTATAAGGGAACACGCTATAACCATCAGTAAAATTATTTTGACCACAAAGTTAATGTAAGAAATAAAAATTATTGTATTCAAGACAATATTGTTGGCAATATTGTATTCAAGAAAACAACATTGGTTATTTTCAGGAGATTATTACAAACTGAGCTGAATTAAACCCAGCCCACTTATTCCACTAGGTTTTTGTTTTAATGCCTAAATCTATTGGTGCAACATTTAATTACATTTTTACTTTTGGCCAGATGGTTCCATTTCTTTTTTAAAATGCAAGCACTGCATTGCACACTGATATGACAATTTCAGGTCATAAATAAAACATGTAACTGTTCTTAAAATAACTTCAGTCAGCAAGTTAGCGAATTAGGTCATAAAGAAGTCTGGGAGAAAAAGAATCCCAAGGAGAACTATTCACTTTATTCTTCAAATAATTGATCCAAGATCAAAGTTCACATTTGACACAACCTCAGGCCTCAGAAGTCCTGCCTGCTCTCCAAATCTCTTACAAGATTGGCAGATCTTGTAGCTGAAGATACTTGTATAATCTCAGGATGAGACTGTGCGGCCTCACGTGATTTTGTCATTTAATGGTGCTTAATGTCCCTCTCTGAGGCAAATGGACATTCAAAAAATGTGAAAAATAAAGTAACTGGATACTCCACTACTGAACCGTGATACAAGCAAAGCTTCTCACAATGAGTTATTCCACAAGTAGGAAAGAAGAAAGATTCCTTAAGATTTCATCAACAAATCTGTATTTGGAAGAGCAAAGGAAAAAAAAACTGTAGTCTAATATATTGCCTTTTATTGCTGATTTTTCATTTCAACCACCTTTCATTGATTCCCCCCCCCCCCAAAACACTGATATTTACCAATTGTGTAAAGTATAATTCTCATACCTGGAACATATATGGAGTTTCAAATATAGCAGGAAAGTCACCTAACAAATGACAACTTTGTGTTTCATGTTAAAGAACCCTGAAGGACTGTCTTGTACTGTATATGGAATTGTTTTGTGAATCAGCTTGAACCAAAAAAGAAGGGCTGTTGTGAGGATCAGAGCAGAGTTGTTCAGAATTTTTTCAGACCGGATGAAAAATAAATTACAAGCAAGTAGGTTTTGGTTGAACATCAGGAAGTATTTCCTAATAGTACAATGGACAGACTGTATAAGGAGATGATGGGTTCTCCTTTGTTGGGGGCCTTTAAATAGAGGCTGGATGGGGGTCTGTCAGAGATGCTGTGGATTCCTCTGCTCCGAAGGGACTGGAACAGATTATCTCCAAGATACCTTGAAGCCCAGTGTTTCTCAGATTCAGCAACTTTAAGATATATGGACTTCAACTCCCCAGAATGCTGGCTGGGGAATTCTGGGAATTGAAGTCCATACATCTTAAAAGTTGCTGAGGTTTAGAAACACTCTTCTAACCCATTCTATGTTTCTGTTAAGATTGAAAATTCAGCCAAATTAATTAGCTTGAATTTAATATATGACTAAGAGTTATTAGGAAATGCAAAGCATGCTAGCAAAGCAATATTTTTCAAATATACGGTGTTAAATAAAACTCTCCAGGCTTCCAGACAAACTTCCAAGCCCACTCCTCCATCCCAACATTGCTCATCAGTTAAAGAATCTGTATTCTGTATTCAAGGGAGCAGACCCTCTCCGGTTCCTATGGCTTGCAAATACAGGTCACTCTCAGGAGAAAAATGAAGCAGTGGCAGCTTGGGACAATCGCTTAGTGACAGAGCAGTACCAGGCAAGTCATTTCAGTTTTAGGAACAACAGATTTGGATTGTAAAACTCCAGGTGATTACTAGATGGCAGGAAAGAGTTGAAACTGATTGCATCTTCTTGCTACAAAATTGGCTGCTGTGTTCCCTGAAGCCAGTTTTTTTGCCTGATGCTTTATCCTGTTTCGTCATGCCAACTAATATGGGTGCAATGAGCAATGGGTCCATGACTAGATGATACCGCATTTCCCCGAAAATAAGACCCAGTCTTACATTTTTTGGCACCAAAAAAGTACATTAGGGCTTATTTTCGGGGAATGTCTTATTTTTTTTAGGGTGGACCTGCCCCATGCACCCCACATCTGCTTACTTCAGGGCCCCCGCACCCAGGCCATGCCCCGCTCAGTTATCTCCTCCGCTTCTTCCTTTTCACCCTCCTCCCGAGTCGGACTGCCATGCTACGGAGGATGGGCCTTACCTAGTCCCCCTCTGCTGTTTCGGAGCCGCATTTGCCACTGGAGGGGCTTTCTTCGGTCCCCACCGACCCCACTTCACCCTGCAGATCACCTGCCTGGCAGCAGCCGCCTCCCCCTTCTCCTCCACCAACTCTCCTGTGGCTTGTGTCATGACCGGGAATGCAAGCCTCCCTTGCTGCCTTCCTCCGCCAGCCCTAGTATCCCTCCACCAGCCCTCCATCGCCGCCACCACACTTTCTTGCCGCCCTCCATCTCCCTTTTCTGTTCTGGAAATGGCAGCCCTGTTTTCTGCCACTTTCCTCCTGGCAGAAGGGAGGAAAGGAAGGACGCTTCGCATGGAAGGACGCTACGATAAGCTCCAGGAAACCTGCGCCAGCTGGAGCTGGGCAAGGAAGGCCAGGCTCCCCTTCCCCGATGGTTCTGCAAAGCCCTTGAGGAGCGGCAGAGCCTTTTGCGGTCACTCCCCCCTGGGTCCAAAATGGTGGAGGGGGAACGGGTAAGGCCCATCCTCCATAGCATGGCAGTCCGGCTCAGGAGGTAAATGGGTACGGGGCACGTGGGGCAGCTCCACCCCCCATCCCAGCTTGATTTTTACGCCTGTGCCTCGCCCCACCTCTTGCAACCAGAGGGCGGGGTCTAAACTAGGGCTTCTTTTTGGGGTAGGGCTTATATTAGGTGCACACGTAAAAATCAGGCTAGGGCTTATTTTCGGGATAGGGCTTATTTTTGGGAAAACATGGTAGTTAAAACGAACAAATACCAGACTGAAGGTGCAACCAGGGTCCCGAGGTACCCTCTACCTGACTTGATCCTATTCAACACCACAGTAGAAAAATCAATGTAAATAGTGCCTGAACTTACAGTAGCCCATAAAGGATTCTTACCCCAATAGGATTATAAAAATTCTAAAACAGCAAGGAAATAATCAATAATCATTGTATAATTGTTGTAACATGAGTTCATAGCTCAAAACTCCGAAGACAAGCAGGATGTCATTTTGATAGCATTCATTTCATTCTTTTAATATATTTACTAGCTATTTATTAAGGCCATGCACTTTTAAAAGGACTTACCATATGAAAACAATACAAAGTAGTTTCAGAAATTAAAATGCATCTTTTTAGAAATCAACCATAATTAAAAATTTAAGGATACAAAAGGAAAAGCCAGAATTGTGTTTCTACCAAAACGAAGAGCTAACAAATTTGTTTTTTTAAAGTCCTCACAGAAGTGTCCTGAAATGGAGAAATCCCCTTAGATATGGTTCAGTTCTGGAATTCGTCAATAAGCCTATCTTCAGAATGTGATCTTAAAGCACTAATGATTCACAAATTCTTAACATAATTTGGGGCAAAATTTAAAGACCAAAACGAATACTTTCAATTGAGTTCCAAAATGTACTGATAGCCAGTGCAATACAAATTAGTGTAATTATGTTCCAGCAAAAATGTAAGATATTCTATAACAAACTAAGATTTCAAGCCATATCCAAAGGTATCCCAACCAGATCACATTATAATAGTCAGAAGATAACTAGGGTGTACGTAACTTCTGGATGGATCAGTAGTCCCCAGCTGAAATACAAACCAAACCTTGCACCCTTGACTACTGCTCTCATCTTGCATTTCCAGACAACAGTAAAACTAGAAAGATTCACTGGGGAAGGATCTGAACCTTCAAAGCGAGTGCAAATTCTTTTCAATACCTAGACCTAGATTTATTCTCCCCCATTCATCCACAAGGCCTCTGAATACCTGCACATTCATGTTTCAAATAAAAGATTCAGTAAAAGATAATCCCAAATGAGTACCTGCTTGTTCTTATACTTCTTCAGGTATCTTGGAGAAACCAAGCATTCTGGATTAATGTCTGTTGTGATCTGCTCAGTAATTATCTGTGGATCTGGGTTCAGATGCTGCATTTTCAGAAAAGACAAGATGTTCTGGACTTCCAAATTATATGAACTGTCTGCCATGGTTTTCCCCTTGGAGGCTAGCCGACATGCTGCCATCCAGTGTGCATATTGTTTTTCCTGCAGTGTAAAAGAAAAAGTAGCACCTGTTATGATGGACTGTTGGCATATTTTATTGTGTCTTCAAGGATACTGGAAAACTCCAGTCCCAAACATGTTAGAAGATGCACAGCCCAATCTTAGACATAGAATACATGTGTCATATAAGTGACTTTAAGATAAAGCATTCATGGCTTTGTGCTTCTTTTTTAAGGCTGACTCCCCCCATCCCCCATAGGTATTTTCAGTTCATGTTTCAAAACTGTTGCACTCAACTATTGATTCTAGCTAATGTAAACACCAAATTTATGCATCTTTTCAACCTTGATTTTGATTAGTACTGCAGATTTAGTATGCATGTGAGTTTAGAATCATGTGATAAAATTCATGGTTCATAGCCATCATGGGCATAAATTACAGTTCAATATGAACATTTTGTATTTTTTGCACAATATTCTTTCAAAAAGTGAAAACTACTAGAGGATTACAAAACTGAAACAATATGTTGCACCATATAATCATAAAAACATTCAATCCCCACCAGTCCTTTTGCTCTGTAATCCCATTCCTCTACTTCTGCTTTCCACTATGGACTTTTGTTGGGGACAACATGGGGATACATGGGAGTATTACTATAGATCACAGGGTCTTTCATGGCATACAGTGCTGGTTGTCACCTTTCAATTTTATATGCTTTGAGTCCAGGATTATGTATTCTCCAACATGACCTTCTGGAGGAGGCTGATCCAAATTCTGCTTTACTCTCACCTTCAGTGGGTGTGGATGTATATCAGGGCCATTGGGGTCAAAGAATGACAGGCAAATATTCATTTAACTAATGATATCTTAATTAGCTTTTGGAATGAAAGCAGGGGCTATCCTTTCTTTGCAGGCAAGCTGCTTTGGAGCAGATGACCATGACCAAAAAGGCCATACTTCTCCTTTCCTCCTGGGAGATCAGGATTTGTCTGAGCCTGCATGTATTAGGCAGGTAGATTCCACCTGGAATTGATGGCTTTGAAGGTAACAATGGCCTGAATCATAAAGGACTTTGTAGATGATGATCAACACCTTGAATTTTGCCATGAAGCAAAGTGGCAACCAGTGCAGCCTTCTGCAATGTAGGTCACTCTGCTGTACAAAATAGTCCTATTAAGCAGGGCAAAATAAAAAGGAAGCAATATATCTGTGAGTCACTACAGTCAGTGCCCAGGAAAGGTCATAGTTGGCAGATCAGACAACATTGGCTAGAGCCGTCACCTGCTGATAAATCAAATATGGTGAGTCCAGAAGGATATCCAGACTGCATACTTGCTCCTTTAAGAAGGTGCTATCTTATCTCAAGCTAAAATCTGAACTGCCTGGAACACATTGCAGAAATTGTGGCTCCATCTATCTGGGGTTCAGTTGGAGCCTGTTCCATCCAATCTCTCATAGCCTCCAGCCCTAGGACAAGATGTCCACTGCATCTCTTTGCAGGGATAGAGTAAACAATTGGATATCATCATCTTACTGATGATACTTCGCCCCAAATTGCTTCATATTAAGATTAAGAAGAATTAAGGTGAGTTTGCTATTAAGGAAAGCAACCTATTTTATTACTGGCCCTGCTTATATTATTAACCAAAATATTCCATACAAGGCTAATTTCGGATATCTCTGGATTCCAGGAAATAATTGATGCACACTTCAGTTCTTGCTGTACAATCAGCTATGACCAATTGACTTGGTTGGCATTTCATATAAACTTACATTATCACAACGGAGCCAAATTTCATTCATGCCCTCAGCAACAGGAATCAGAAGCTTTATGTTAAATTTCTGGCCAGATATGTTGACATCAGGAGTTACCTCACATCCTATAAGAAAAGAAGATGTTATATATTTCATCAATATGAGGATGGGACAAAGGCACATATGGGTAGATTTGTGGCTATTTCTCTTTTTAGACTTGGGTATCTTCCCACCATTTCATTTTAACTAAGAAAAAAAATATATACCTATTAATTTAGTGCTGTTTGTTTTAATAAAAAAACAGCTTTATCAAATCTCCATTGTCTGAATATACAATTTTGTCTTTATCTGTTCAATCAAATTTACAGTATGTAGCTGCCCATTTGACAAGTGACTCTTAATGTTTAGTGAATGAATTGCTCCAAAGTGATCATTTGAAAACTCTTTATAATCCAAATCTATATTTACCCATCATAGTATCACATTTTTTCCTTGATCAGCACAGACATTCACCAAAATCTAAGCACTCAGAAATTCATAAGATATTTGTTCTCTTCACCTATGAAGCAACACAGTATGGAAGATTTTCTATAATCTCACCATAACATGGGAATTGCATAAAAATCTCTCGATTGGAAACATTAGCTTTGTAACAGACTGAAGAGCCCCCAAAGAGGTTCCTGATATAAAATATACCAGGGGTGTCAAACTCAATTTCATTGAGGGCCACATCAGCATTGCGGTTGCCCTCAGGGGGCTGGGTGGGTGTGGCCTACTGGGTGGGCGTGGATGGAGTGGGTGTGGCCTACTGGGTGGGTGTGGCCAGCTGTACATCGTTCACGTCAAGGGTGCCTGTGGGGGCCTGGGCAGGAGTGGGATTGATCTGAGGGTCTCTGGCAGAAGGGGGTGGGACCAGGACAAGTGCCAAGGCATGGTCCACTGGAGGAGCCTCACTGTTCCTCTCAGGCCATGGGGGTGGGGGGCTTATGGAGGTAAGACTGAATGCGTTTCAGCATAGATGGCCATCACAAAATTGTACATTGGCTCCTGGCTGGCCTGGGCCAGTGCCAAGGCAGAGGGGGCCGTTCCCTCACTGTTTCCAGGATGGCTTCGCGGGCCACATGAAACCACTTCGTGGGCCGCATCTGGCCCCCGGGCCTTGTGTTTGACATGTCTGAAATATACTGTAGGACTGGGTGTTTATCAGTCAGATCAGTATTCATTTGACTACTGTCTTAAGTGTTACATAAATGTCATATTGATCATGAATTCTTTATATAATGAATGTGTGCCACTGAAATCCAAAGTGCTTGCAAAGGGAATTTGAATTCTTTGTGCAATAGTTTCATATAAGTGAAGTCCCTGGATAGGGATATTATCTAGCTGATTAGTCTTGTTCACAAGAACCAGTTATTAAATTGTCACCTTCATTACCACTAAGCTAGAAATTCATATTTTTCCTGCTCAAGAGAAGCTGGCTTATCTGGCCAGAGAGGTCTAAGCTTGGCATACAGGACCATGCTTGCATTTTTGAAGCAGCCAGCTTGTCTAGGCAGAGGAGGCCTCCCCTATTTTGGTTTCTCCCACTTTCTGGGTAAAGCATCTTTGGGACAACCATGCCCTGGATGATTGGGAATCTCCGTAGACTTTATGCCCTGATTATTACTTATTTAATACGTTAACATACCAATAATAAATTATTGTTGGAACCAGGAGCTGCCAAATCTAAACAGTACCCCATCACAGATGGGAAGATAAAAACTATTCTATTATTGTTTCATTTGAGGTATTTGTCTACTAAATTTGGGAAATTAAACCAAACAGAAGACAGCACTTTTGAGGGCTACTTAATGGTCATCAGTCAAAGAAAATTAATGGATAATAGAGACACAATGTTCAGAACAGTGATATAAGATTTTTTTAATGCAACCTTCCATAAAGGACAATGATATTTTTTAAAAATAACTCATTTTCTTGGAAACAATTTCAGCCTTATTGCAGCTCTCCCAGCAGAATACTTTTAAAATTCCGTCATCAACAGTTTTGTTAAAAAGCTCCGAAAAAGGTATTCCATGCTTCTTTTCTCCAGTTCATAGTTACAGTCTGAAGTCATCTGGCAGCCTTTCTGTTTCTGCCGTGAAGGCTTTAAAAGCGAATGTCAGTAGTGCCTATTGCACAATCCATTAAACTGGAATAGCTTATTGTGGAATAGAAACAGAGCTGGTAGCCAGAGGAATGTCCTATGCAGCATAAATTCCTTGTCCCCATCGGAATAAAGTTGTGTTGGCACGTGTGTGTGTGCTCAGCACACTAATGCAGAGGGAGGAAAATATATTTTAAAAAGGATGTTCTATTGGGTGATAAAACACTCCTAATTTTTGAGCTAAAGTCGTTTATTTGGTTCCCACTTTCTTTTTATTTGTACTTTATACAGTAT